CACTCAAGACCTTTTGCTTTCCAGGCAGTTAAATCCTGGCCCTCTTATAGGAAAACATCGACACATTTTCGATACACATCGTCACATGGTGAGGCCGTTTTGATGAAGGGCCTGTCATGACATGTGCATGGGCAGGACATGGTGACGGGCCTGTCATCCCAGCACCCTGAGCCCCTGAGGCAAGAGGACTGGAAGTTCAGGCCCAGCCAGGGCAGCTCCAAAAACAGCCGGGGATGCAGCTCAGCGTGATGGCCAGAGTTCAGTCTAGTACTGCAAAGAAAGATGTCTTCTAAGTTCTGTCCCTGCACGTGGATCTGCACAAGCTGCCAGGAGCTGCCAGAGCAGGATCGGAGGGGGGACAGGAGCGTCATCCCTTCTGCCAGAGGTCAGCGGGAGCCAGCAGCAAGTCCTGGGCTGGGCCTCAAGCGCACAACACGGGAGGTCCAAACCCCTCGGCCTGCAGCTGGCTGTGCTCTCCAAGCCAACGTTCTGGGGTCACCAGTCTCCAATTCATGGTTAAGACATGGGCATCCCCGAGTTAGGAAGTGGTGTGGCTTCTCGAACCCAGAGCCCCTGCTCTTCCCAAAACTTGAACACTGCTGGGGGCCAGGAAGGCTCCACCTGAGGTGGAGGGAAGGAGCCGAGCCCAGGACTGAGCCCTGGGATATGAGGAGCCGGAGGAGCAGGTCCCACCTGCAGGTCCAGGACGGCTGCCCAGGCTGGGCCTGCTGAGGTCGGGGTGGGTATGACTCAGTCCTGAGCAGTGGCCAGGGCTTGGCACCTTGGAGCCTTTGTGACCAGAAGTAGAGGAGGCCTGGAGAATCCTAAGACTCAGGCGTAAGTACCACACGTCCGGCTGGGAATTTAGCTCGGTGGTTCCGCCGCCTGCCTCGCAAGCACAAGGACCAGAGTTCGATCCCTGGTACCCAAAAAAAAGAGTACCACACGTCTAATCCCAGCACCTGGGAGGCTGAGGCAGGAGGATCCCCGCAAATTCAAGGCCAGCCTGAACTGCATAGCGAGACCCTGTCTCAAAAAAAGAGAGAGACTGGGCCGGGGATTTCGCTCAGTGGTTTCGCCGCCTGCTGCGCAAGAGCAAGGACCTGAGTTCGATCTCCAGTACCAAAAAAAAAAGAGAGAGAGAGAGAGGTGTTAATGTGCAAGGCCCACGGTGTGGAGAGTGGCGGAGATTACCACCCCGGCTCTCCCCTACCCCTGCAGCTCCCGGCCAGCCAGGCCCGGCCCGGCCCGCCCTGTGCCCAGGTATTGCAGGGACAGCATTTCCTCAGATGGTGTTAGGAGCACAAAAACTAGCCAGCTAAAACCACAGGAGTCTGCAAACACAGCGGAAGCCTATTCACCGCTGTCCGTTCCTGTGGCGACCCCTCCGCCCTGTGGCGATCCCTCCGCCCTGTGGCGATCCCTCCGCCCTGTGGCGATCCCTCCGCATTGACTCACAGAGCGCAGTACGCTGGCTGTTTATAGCTCAGTGCTGCCCCCTATGGAGTGCGTGTAGAACAGCTCGCGTCCGCAAGGCTTTGCCGTCCCCAGCGCCTTTGCGTCTTATTTTCCTGGACTCGAGTGACCCTGCCTCAGCCTCCTGAGTAGCTGGGGCTGCGGGCAGGGGCCCCCAAGCTCATCTGGGTGATTTTTAACTTCTCAGGGGAAACACATTACTTCAAAACGAGCACATAATGTGCAGCCGTAGCAGTTTCTTTTGCGAGCTCTTCAGTCCTGGTTCAAATATTATAAAATGTGTTTTCTTGAGGGCCTTGATAGTCCCGCTGAGGCCCCTGAGCTCTACTGGGTATTAGCTGAAGATCACCCAGGGCCTCCTGGCTTTCCGAAGACTTCTGAAAATATCTACACCCAGAAAAAAAAAATTCATCTCCAAACACTGACCCAAACACCCACAAAACCAGAACGAATACATGCTCAGCACTGCAAAATGTAACATTGGAACTGGGCCTGGTGGTGCGTCCAGCACTCTGGGAGCTAAGGCTGAAGGATTGCAAGTTTGAGCGCAGCCGGGCTACTCAAGGATTTAGCAAGACCCTGTCTCAAAATTCTAAAATAGGACTGGAGGTGTAACTCAGTGTAAAGGACCTGGACTCAATCCCTAGTACAAAAAAAAAGCATTGTCAATAACTGCAGGATAATTCCTGTGTAGGAACATGGAAACGGAATAAAAATTCTAGAGAAAATGTTCTTAACAAAATTTAAGTTTGCAAAACTTTTCAAAAACTCTGCTACAAAGCCGGGTGTGGTGATACATTCCTGTAATCCCAGCACTCCAGAGGCAGAGGCAGGAGGATTGCCTCGAGTTCCAGGCCAGCCTGGGCTACATAGGGAGACCCAGTCTCAAACCCATCCTCCATGCCAAGAGTGGAAGAAGACTCATCAGAGCTCAACGTGAGGAAAAGCAGTCAGGATTATTATACCGGGGAAGTGACCTGGGTGTCAGGCGCCGTACGGTGTACAATTCTGGGGGAGGCCCCAGCGCCTGCCCTGGGGCCGGGTGTGCAGCTCCGTGGAAGGTGCTCAAGGCCCTGCATTGGATCCCAGCCGAAAATACAGAGCCCAAGCCAGGAGCCGTTCTAAACCAAGGCTCGGGCGGCAGGCAGAACTGTCGGTGCCGCCCACGCAGATTAACGAGTTTTCAATCACGCTCACTTCCCGAAGCCGGACGGCCACTCAGTTTAAATCCTCTTCAATCCTTCTCCTTCATGGTCGATTTACAGCCAGGATGAGCGGTGGGTTAAACAGGAAGTGGTGAAAAGTAAGTCACAGGGGAGCGAAGGCAGCCCGTGTGCGTCAGGCATCGATTCTTGCTCCGGAGCCCGGAGCAGCGCAGGGAGGGTGGGTGCGGAGCCTGGAATCCCGGGGACCCGGGCCACCTCCACCATCAGCCCTGCTGAATGAACTCCAGGCCCTGCGTAACCACAGGGGTAGGATCGCCCTGCACCGGGTGGGAGCCAGGGCCCAGCTGTCCTGACAGC